AACTGGGAAGAGTCCCGAGGAATCCCGGAGCTGCTGCTGGAGAAAGCAGAGAGTTATGGGGGTCACGAGAGATCAAGCCTGAGGATCGACGGTGATGGATGAACAGAGTCCTCCCCGGACGCCGGCCATGGACGGGAGAGAAGGGGAGAAGAAGAAGGAAGGAAGTTGTCTTCTGTGATTTCTGACCTTCCTTTGAGCTTACGTAGATATATGGAATGGAATATCTTTGGCCAATTTTGCTGTCTGTCTAACTCAGCCTCCTACGGGGGGGTCACAGATCTCCCCATAGTGTCTGAGCCGGCAGAGTGAAGGTGCGACCTTGAAGCCTCAGTAGTTAGAAAAACATTCCACTGTCTTATCAGCCTAGCAGAACACACTGTTGCTAGTTAAAAGAAAGCTTACTGAAGAAAAAAAAATCAGTAAAAAGAAAAATTGGCTTCATCCTGGCTCAAACCAGGACAGAAAGTTAAGCCCCAAGTCTGTGACAAAATAGATTCCCTAGTTGTCTGTGCATATAAATTTTAAGTCTTTTGTTACAACATTTTTCTACAGAATAATTCCTTTATTTCTAGGTTTGAGGCCAAAAGGTTAAAAATTTATATTGAAGGGCAGTAATTCATCTTGCAGTTACTTACAAATGTCTGTCCTTACAAACTAGTTTTATTTTCATGTATGAAAATAAAAAAAATATGTATTTATTTTCATGTATTATATTTTATGATATATATACTTTAAGATTGTATTGTTTTCAGTGGTATGCAAGCAGTAAAATATTACACAGAGCAAAAAGAAATATTCACTCAGAAATGCTAGAAATGAAAATTGCTATTTATTACTATAAAGATTTCAGAACTCTTGTCCTGTCTCATTGTGAGTCTCTAGAATGGCAGATAATTTTTTTTGACTGTTTATTTTTTCTGAATCAATTTCTGCTCACAGCAGACTAAGAATTCAACTCTTTATGTTATTTTTAATAAAAATAATGTTTGTATTTCTCAGACCCTGTTTTTCATGCCTAATGTAAGATTGATTTGCTCTGAGTGTTCTCAATTTTGAGATAGATGGTAGAGGAGCATAATGTGATGCTGCTTCATGTCACTGTCAGAAAAATTACCACAAGCCTTATGGATTAGGATTCAATTGTTATTAACTCTAAGGACTCAGGGGAGGTGTAAGTTTGAAAGTAGGAAACTTAGAAAAAAAAAAAAAAAGTGAAAAACTATAGATGTCTAATCTGAATTTCAGCAACTAGGAAACCCCTAGAACAACAGCAAAACACTGTAGCACCGAAGGCCATGTCAGGTAGATGACAGGATGACAGTCTGTAGGAGCCAGTGCAGATTTGTTGAGACAAAATCATGCCAGACCAGTTACATCTTCTCCAACATCTGCTTCTTCCCCTCTACCCACATGACCTGTTATCCTGTCATACATCTCCTCCTAGCAAAGCTTTGGATAACGTTTTATAGGAGGCTCTCAAATGGAAGCCTGGGTGACATAAATTAAATAGGAAGTGAGAAAGATGCAAAGGCAGGGCCAGTGGCTTGGCAAGCTGCAGTGGGGCACCCCTGGCTGGGGGACAGCAGCGTGCCCTGCTGGGAAGGCTGAGCGCTGGGCCCCACCGTCCAAATATGATTTGTTTTTTTTTTAAGTGGGCAAAGTCATGCCTCTTTGCCACTGGGCATCGTCTAGGTGCCAATGCCTAATCGATTGTGATGTTTAAGAAAACGCGGACTCACTGGAAAGCCAGTGGGGAGAGCAGAAAGCGCGGCCAGAGGGCTTGACTTGCGATGAAAGATTGCGAAGAGGTTGTGAATCTTTCAGAAACGTAACTGAGGGGAGAAGTCTGGATGCCCTCAGACACACGGATGTCCGGCGGCAGCGGCGGAGGAGGCAGCAGGTCTCCCCGCTGCGCCTCGTGAACGGGCCCGGTAGCGATGACGAAAACCTGCTGCACGGCGGGTTGCCGTTCGAT